CTGCTCTCGTACAGAAGAGCACGAGCTCGGCTTTGCTAGTCACGCGACTCTTCAGTCATTTCGTTACTAAATTGGCTCTGGTGCATGTCAGAAAACCAAACTGCCGGTCAGCCATTGGCAGCCTTGCCTGCAGACATCTGATACAATCACTAGAAAAAGGCAGTACGGGCCTCAAAGGCCCTGTGAGGAAAAGAAGGGGCCGGATTAGCGGCCCCATAGCTTAGGGTATTACTCGAATGGGCGCCAAAATTCGTGCCTAAAATGGAAAAGCGCTGTGAGGGGACAACGATAGTCAGTTCCGAGTGTCGTCGCCTGTCACAGAAAATGTTTAAAATATGCGTTTCACTTTTCCCCTCTAATTAAAACTTGGATTTGCTTTGCTAGGTCGTCCTATTGCATGCTGGCAAATATGTCGGATCGTGATTTATCGGAACTCAATGAATGCCCATTGGATCCCGGCGGCTATTTTGTTATTAATGGATCCGAAAAGGTAACTTCTTGCCAAGCATTTTTTCAGTCACTTTAGGGTCACTTCTCGTTATAGCGGTCAACTCTGAAGTAGAGTGCGTGTGTGGCGCATTATAGACCTCATCCTTTTAAGGAAAGTTTTGCATTGAGAGCAAAGTTTTATGTTTCCTCTTTTAAATTATTCTGCGTGTGCTTTTTTCTCTTTTTCCTCATATGAGTCTTACTTTATAACATCGTTAGTCACTATTTTGTGACTAAATTGGCTAGAATTTTAGGTTTTAATTGCTCAAGAAAAGATGGCAACAAACACAGTTTATGTGTTTGCGATGAAGGATGGAAAGTATACGTACAAAACAGAATGCCGTTCTTGTCTTGAGAATTCCAGGTTTTACAATTGCCGATATCTTGCAAAACTGCACTGAAATTTTTTGAAAAATGTCAAATCCTTCGATTCTTTACTTTACTGCATAGTTCCAACTGGTACCTAGCATTTGCTTGATGCATACACGCTACCCTTTCCAAATCAGCGAGGCTTTTTATAGAGTTCAGGAGGAATAAGGATATAAAACTCCCACTGCTCGTTTATTTGTCTGAATTATGAAATTTGTTTTAGTCGTCCAACATCGACGCTCTGGGTGAATATGCTACCACGCGGCGGCGGTAGCAACAAGAAATCTGCAATGGGCCCAAAAATTATTGCAATTTTACCGTACATTAAGCAGGTTAATTTTTTTTCCTGTATTCTAAGGCAGATAACTTGAGCCGCCGTGGTACCATTGTTATGTGACTTTTTTTTTCAGGAAATTCCAGTGATGATTGTGTTCCGTGCGCTGGGATTTGTG